AGATCAATCTTCGTATAGTATCTCTCCCGGCTCAGTCAGTTCAAACAATCGGCGACTACCGGAATATGATAACAATTCTTTACAGTGATCTTGTTCAGGGCTCGATAGTCGCAGCACATTCTGAGAGAACCATCGGCCTTTTTCTGAAACAACTTAGGAGCTCTATATGGTGATTTCGTAGGCACGATAATCTCACTTTCCAACATTTCTCCCAATTGTTTCCGAAGCTCTTCAAGCTCCGGCTGAGACATACGGTAGGGTGCCTTGACGGGCGGTTTGGCACCTGTAATAAGCTCGATCTCATGATCGATTGCCCTTCTTGGTAGCATCTTCTTTGGTAACTCTTCCGGCATGATGTTCTCAAATTCCCTGATAAGCTTTCTGACCGGCTTTGGAATAGGACTAGTTGCCTCCTCGATCTCTTCTAATCGAAGAGTGCACAAAAATGAGGGTTCATTTCTTTTGAAACCCTTACCAAATTGCATAGCCGAGATACTCTTCTCGCCCATCTTCCCGGCTTGTGTCGTGATGACGCACGGTTTACTACCCATCATCATTAATGATACGTATGGCAGCACTGCTTAGTGTCCCAAAGAAACTCCAATCTTAAAATGAGCTTGAAGTCATCCATTTGAACCGCAGACAAGTTTGTCCTTCCCTCGAAAGGACTTGCTTTGATTGACACAGATTTCGCTACTCCAGCTATTGGTTCAGCAGCGAAGTTGATTGCTTTGACTTTCCCACTACCTTTCTCCGGAACAAGTCCGAGTCGTTCAACTTCGGTACTTACAAGGTAGTTGTGGGTAGCACCCGTATCCACCATGGCCCTAATTGGCTTTCCATTGATCTTTACATCAATGTACATTAGGCCTTTGGCCCTGTAAATGCGGGCCTTTGATTCTTCCATCTTTACCTCTTTCAAGGGGATATCATCCATTTTAGTAACTCGGTGCAATAGTGTATTACACCGATGTGAGAATGCACCAACTACATCATCCTCCTCTTCGGAGTCGGTCTCACTGTGGTGACTAGATTGTGGGACATCCTGCCTTGAACTCATCCCACCACTCGCTAGTTCACAGTATGCATTCACCATCCGTTTCTGAGGACACTTCGCCAC